AGCGCCTCGGCAGCCCTTTCAGACCTCCATCTATCTTTGAACAGGTGCTCTTATCCTGCCAATGCACCTCATCCACAGGGTAACATCTACCAACCGTCCTGAGACGGTCATTTATGAACTGTACTCTGTACAAAACTGTCCAATTTGCTGATAGATGGCAAATGGTGCTAACAAATAAATTACCTGCTGCCTGCTAACAGAAACTGGTGATGACCCAGGTCATCTCAGAAACCGTAACAGTTTTTCTTAAGGAATGATTAGTTGAAAAACAATACTAAAGAGGCAATCAGTGCTATTACTAAATTCATTCTGTTGTGCTCATTAGGGGAGTCAACTTTCCTGTTCTGTGTTAATTAGATCAGGTAGCAGAAGCTCAGAAAGAGGAACATTAAGCAAAGTGTGTCTGGAGCATCCCAGGGACAGAGAGACAGCCAGAAGGGATTTCTGAGTACTCATTGCCTATGAAATTTTGGAAACCTCTTAAACCAGTCATTCAAGTTAGGTCAAGATCTATGGGTTTAATCCTTCCAGTCCCTCTAGCAAAGTACAAAGCACTCTGTCAGGGAACTTTCAACTCGGGCCAAATCAGCAAGTTCGTCTGTTCTGCCAATGCAGTAACGCTGACGACCTGACAGAAGGCAAAGCTTCCCCTTGCACATAATTCTGCTCCCCATTCGAAGTCAGTGTATTTAAGTACTGATAAAGATGAAATTTAGATTCTCCGACCTTTTTCTGTTAACAGGCACCACGGGTGTACAAATATCTTGTTGGGCCAGTCACACCAATTTATGGTATAAAAAGTAGTGTCCTCTGGGAAAAAATAAATTCCTCTGCCTTGTAGTTACTAGAATGACATCTGCCAGAGTAAGCCCATCCCTGGTTCACACCTTCTGTGATTACCACTACCTGAAGTTTGTAAGCCTACCAAAAAGATTGTTGTTAATTCTGGATTAAATCCAGAATTAAGTGCTATAAGCATAGTGCACTCAATATGATTGACTGTCTTGCATCAAGTTGCCTTGGGGACCAGCAGACAAAAATCAGAGACAGATGACCCATAGTCCTCTCTTCTACCAGCCAGAGAATGTTTCCCAAGAAAGCTCCAAAAGGAAAGATCAGACTCTACCTGCAAATTCTCCTCTATCTTACCTAGAAATAAAAGATTGAATAGGACTGACACCTCCATTTCCTTTCACCAAAGCTGCAATAGTTACGGGCTGAGGTCAGACTCCATGGTGAGAAGGTGCATGACGGGACACGAGTACGTGCCGCAGTGCTGACATGACTTGCATGCGTCAGCCTAGCAGAGCAACCGCACCGCAGGGTGCCGCCCTCCCCTGCTCACCCTCGGCCAAAGGAACAGCACAGAGAAGGCTGCACCTCGTACTAGCGAGGCGCGTGTATCTGCTCCTGCACACCCCCAGGTCAGAGAAAGGGCGACACACAAAGCCTGACCATCTGTATTTTTCCTGCCCAGTGCCAATGTTGGGAGCACAGTTTGCAGCTCAGTATTACACCATGCAAACACCTCCACAACAATGCCGTGATCTTTAACGTGCCTTTAAAGGCTTCTAGTGCAGGTGCTCTAAGAGCAGCGAAGCAAACACCACCGATGAAAGCATGTACTGTCATTCACAGACTTATTTACAGTATTCAGCTGTGAAAAGCAATCTTAAGAGTTAAATGAGCGGTCAGCACAAGACATCCCTCAAAAAAAAAGGAATCTTTAACTAGAGCAGCATCAGCACAGTGACTATCCCCATGTTACCACACAGTCCCAGCAGAGCAGAAAGGGAAGTACGCTAACCCAAGCAGTGACCATTCCTCCCTAGCCGGACCTTTTCATTGTGGTCAAGAACTATACTGATCCTAAAGGTACCATAACCTGCACAGTGAGCTAAACTAAGTGCCCTCTGGGTATCTGGTGCATGTCACGTCAAAACATCTTTGCTTCCTCTCAGTTGGAGCTGGGTTGGAGACAACAGTCAAATTCAAGCAGTTGTTTTTTATTCTATAGTTCTACAGATGAGTCCTTTCACTGGGGTTGTCGTAACATACATGGAAAACATTTTTCAATCACTCAGGACACGGTCTTTGTGGTTGGTTTCTTGTGGGTTTTTTTTGGGGGGGGGTGTTTTATTTTGTTTTTTGTTTGTTTTTAAGCCTGTGGAAGGTAAACAATCATATTACAGAAAAATTAAAAGGGATGAATCTGGCTGATCATATTTCTATCAAACGACAGGAGTCAAAAACTTCTCCTTCAAAGTATTCATCCACAAATGCTTCCTCAACAACTGCAGAAAGGCATCAAGGAGATCCAACTGTAGAAGAGTTGAGTACTTACCTAGTTAGACCACCCCTTCATCATTTGCAAAGACCATCTTGACCATACATTGACAACTGCCTACTCTTACAGGAGTCAGCAGGATGAATTTAAAATATTTCAACTTCCCAAATCAAGAAATGAAATTAACCTAAAAATATCTTAATGTAGCAAGTTTGGCTATAGAACCAGTGCAACATAAAGAGGACACCCATTGTATAACCAACTTTACTGCTTAATCTTAACAGAGTAAGCTACAGATGCAACGGATTTACCACAAGTTATTTGGTTAAATTAAATACTGCAGTTAGGATCATGCTGTTGGTAATTGTGGCTTTACAGTACCAAAGCTCAAGTTGGCTGAGTTAGTTTTACTCTAAGTAAAATGCAAGTTTACAGAGAAACAAAATAATTTAGTACAGTACGCTGTATTCTGTTTCATGCTCAGTCACAATGATAATGTCTTCGACAGATAAACAATATTTCAGCATTATGTTAATAATGCCAAAACATACAGGAATTTTAATGCCAAATTTACAACATAATACAGTGCTTAACAAACAGATTGCTCGGGTATGGTGGCCAAGTGAGAATGCTACACAGGACTGAGAAGCATCCAAGCACTACCCAGTGCATACGAAGTGAACTACACCGACAGGAATGCTTTACCTTTTGATGGAATTATTGTTCTAGAAATTTGTGTCCCAAACATAATGCAACGTAAAATGAATGTTGAACCCTTGCCTCAAACATGAAGCAAAAGGACTACATGTTATTTACAAACTTGAACCGGTAAAACCACTTTAAGAACAGAAAAACATTGTGATCACCTGACAAAGATGACAGAGCTTGATTACTGTACTATGTGAACTAGAATGGTAACAAAGTTGTAAACAAATTTTAACCAAATTAGGTTAATGCATCTATTCTTAACTCAAGAATATTGTCATTTCAGCAAACAGTGATTTTTAAAGCTAAGGACACTATCAGAGGTTTTATTTTCATTTAAAGCCAAAACTGATAAAAATCTGGAAGCTGGCAAATCATTTTTGTTCCCTATTAGCCTTCATTAACTTCTCCATTGAGTACTTCAGCAAAATTTTCAAAATTCCTGTTTTTGTCTAATTCTGCTTCAACTTAAGTAGCTGGTAGCAAAAGTTAAAGCAAACACTATCAACACTTAAAAATCCCTACTCAGAGTAGTTTGGTTTTCCACTATTGGGGATGAGATTAGACTGCTGGCGTTGTTCTACAAAGAAAACAAAACAATGAAGCATTCATTTTTAAAGAAAAACATCCTCAAAATTAAATAGGTTTTGCAAATATGCAAAGAAATATATAGGTAAATCAGATTTAAATCTGTCAATCACAGCACTCTCCTCCTCATTCTTCCTCCCCCCCCACCCTCCAAACTAACAGCATTGCCAAAGTGGCTGATGTGAAACTCACAGAATTAAATTCATTTGCATGAAGTCTAGCTACAAAACAAAAAGAAACTTTGTCCCTGCCGCATCTATTTTGTTATCTTTTTCCTGCATTTTGTAATGAACTCATGCAAGCATAAAGGGGGTTGTGTTGGTTTTTTGTGTGTTGTCGTTTTTTTTAAACAGGCATAAGAATCATGCAAGACAAAACTGAACAAACTTTTGTTTCACTTCAGAAAGATTTTATATTACCAACTCATTTCTCTTCATAACTAAAGGTGACAAAAAATAAATCCATAGTAATAAAAAAAAAACCAAACCTGTAGTCAAACTGCTTTTTCAAGTATGTTTCTCCCCTCATGAAAGAATTGCATTAGCCATACTACTGATTAAAACCCATGTCACAATCATTAGGATTCAGACCATACGTCCAGATCTCCTGGAACTGGGCTCAGCTGGATCTCCAGCCGAGTTTACACAAGACTGCAAAAAGGAGGCCAATGTGTACACACGCATGCGTTACACTGCTCAACTCCCTGATTCTGACAACATCCACTATCACACCCCCATCACATCCCCAAAACGAGAGAAATGGCACAGGAGCCACAAAGTGATCTTGGACAGGTACCCTCGTTCGCTGATCAATCAGGTGCAAATCTGTTTTGTGCTGACGAAGATGCACTTTGCAGACCTACTAGACTGGAGAATTTTGCCCACAATGTTTCTACATAGCACAGCATAAAACACATTTTAGTATTTCATTCAGTCTAGAATTCACATCTCAATCTATTGCAATTATGGAAGCCAATGAAAAGTCAATGAGAGGGGTTCTACAAGAGTTGGTCCCAGCATCAAACGCTACTACATATGAAAAATAAAAGGGGACAAACTTCCAAGTCACTATTAGTGATGGTGATAGGTTCAACTTCTCTTCGTTCTTAAATTCACCTCCCATTAATGCAAGAGAAAAGTGCAACTTTGCAGCATGTTTGTTCACATCAAGTTTTTCCTCAAGAACACATTTTGCGGTAACAAAATATGGTCTATAAAGTTGCAAAGTGCACAAGCTGAAGGCACAGAGTACAAACACATAGGAAAACAGATTTCAAAATACCAAGTAGCAAAAAAACACACCAAAAAATAAAAAGAGAGAGAAAAGTAAAAATCTGGAATTTAAAACTCCCTGACAGAAGATACATTTATATGGGACCAACTCTTAAAAGGTGACAATTTTTAAACTAATGAACAAATACTGCAAAATAATGAAACTTTATTCTTATTAAGTAAAAGCTCCAGAAAATACCTTGAAGTTTAAAAACTAATACACTGACGTGTTAACTAGTTTTAAGAATGTCCTTAATATTAAGAAAAGAGTGCAAAAAAGATTCTTCCATTCTAACGCTTTTGGAAGCTGCTGATTTCGGCTGCCCATTTCCACTTTGAAAGGATTGTTTTTCAAGGTGCATTCCTCACAAAAATCGCAGAACATGAACTTGTTGAGAGACCAGACCAAGGAATCATGTCTTTCAAAGTCATTCCAATTGTAGCAGCAACTGACATTTTATTATATAAAGAAGAAAGTCCAAAACTCTTCTTTGAGGCATAATTCGTGTCAGAGCTTGAGTATCAGCAGTTGCCAAAGGAGGCTCCGGATACCACCTGTGCTCCTCCAGTGTCTGTTCTGGCTAGGAATAGAAGCTGATCCAGTATATTCACTATCTGTACCCCCTGGAGCTTGCACAAGCTGATGAGCCATCTGAAATTATATAAAAAGTTCAAGAAATTCTCTCATATTAAACTTTTACCCTGCGCCCTTTGCCCCCCCTTCCCCCAAGAACCCGAAAACCAGCATTGCATGCAAAACATTAACAGTGTAAACTGAAGCTGATATACCAAGTCAACAGCTATTCATTCATTTCAGGTTGTAGTAAGAGTTCATCATAAAACTGCACAGCATTTTATGGCAGGAAATAAAGCAAACATACTCTGCTGAAAGCACAGGAGGAAGCTTGGCAGAAAGAATACAATAAAATGAACTGAAGTTAACAGCAGCACCAGAACAGATATTATTTCACAATGCCCAAGGCTATTTAATGACCAGCAATCACATCATTGTACTTAAATCCTAACCTAGAATGTAAGGGACTAGATTCAATCCTGGCCAAGTATTTAGTCAGCACAGAAGATGGGACCTTTGACTGACTGCACACAAATTAGGGGTGTCTGGAGTAGAGCAACCAACTGAGAATGGAAATACCATTCCTCCCTGTGCTTCTTCCCCACCACCCCCTAATCTATATTGGGGGCAATTAAGGAAGTTACAAAGCAAAGACCCTTATAGTTAAACATGCAGCAAGAGACTCCACCTACAGATGGAAGAGAACTTCCCAAATACTGCCTTTAGTATCTCAACGCAGGTGGATCCCATGTTGTATTAGAGACATAATCGAGGGTTCCAAGTTGAAAAGCACAACCCTTCCAAACCCTCTGTTCTGTCAACAGACAGAAACACACATCACAAGTGGGTGATTTATATCAGAGGTGAACTGTCTTGTCATTTCATTGCCTGTAATGTGTATCCTGACCAGGCAGAGTCAACTTGGGACAACTACTTTCCTTTTCCTTAAGACCCCAGCTGTGTACTTAAATGAAGTGGAAGTATCTTGGCCTCAGTAGCTAGGATATCTTACTACCTTACAGGTGGCTGTGGGACTCTAGCACAGTTTGCTAGGCTCAGACACAAGAAGTTTGTAACATTACTCAGAACGGTAAAGGTTATGCTGGCAGGCAGCTAGCTACAATGTGGAGGTGCAGCCTCTGACACCTCGCCACCGCCCCGAGAACCCAGAAGCCCACCGCTACGTGTATGCCCAACCCATCAGGGACTGCAGCACACTGGAGGACAGGGTTAGATGCATACTTACTGTAAGTTAACTCTTCTCCAGCTCTCTTGCGTGACTGGTCACCTCTAGGAAAGAAGGGGAAGAAAGGTATTTTCATTTTTAAGAAAAGAAAAACAATAGTGAAATACCTCAGCACAATCATTAACTTTTAAAGACCTTAGAAACAAAATGCAAACATAAAGGCAATAACACACAACTGCAGGATTCCCAATTCACTAAAACAGAAGTATAAGCTATATTTTAGAGATTTAATTAGCTCATCCTTTTGTTAAAGATAGCAGGTTCAATTTTATAGGATAATTTTTTACAAAATGAAGATGAGGAAAAATTGCTCCTATGCAGTGTGGTCTTAAGTCATGCATAAAATTGTTTCCCTTAACTCAAACTTCACAACCAAACTTCATAGAACTACGTGAAAAACTCTGCATCTTTCAGTCTAAAACGGTAAGATGCTCCTGAAAACCCAACAATCAGACTCTAAGCAAGTCTGTGCTGACAGCACTCCCTCTTCAAGCAGAAGATTTAAATAAATAACTGAAGTTGTATAAACACCAGTTGACATCATTGCTCCCAAAAACCCAAAGTCAAATTCCCATCTATTTGTTTTTTTTCCTTTTATTCTTGTGCACACAAACTCTTAAAGCTGGAAAATCTTGCTGCTTCACAAGTGTCTTGTGATGACAGATATGCTATTGAAACAGTTATATAAGGAAGAGAGATTCCAACATATTTTCGTCACAGTGGTTATAATTTCACATTTATCTGCTGGAAGTTGATAGAAATTGGGGTTTTTTTTCTAATAATACAAAGTGTTCCTCCCTGAAACCACTCTTAAGGTGATGGACCTGCTGTGTATTCCTTGATTAAGGTCTTTCACAAGAGAAATACCGCCAAGCAACTGGCTTGTGTTCCCACTTTCTGCAGCAACAGTATTTAATAGTGTTGATAAGCTGACTGTTTCAACAAGAACCTGACATGCCATTAATGCTGATGAAGACGCCTCACTGTGCTGTGTTCTTCATGGTTATTGTTGTAGGAAGCGCAGCAGCAAAGACATTTCATGCTAACCCAGAAGAGAACAGACTTGGCACACTCCTTGGTAAAAGGGAAAAACAACCCTTTTATACACACACATTTATATATGTAGGAATATAACCTCAAAACAATTCTGAAAGGTTATAAATAAATATAACCTATGTTCCTGAACATAGGAAGAAGCATATTACATCTTGAAATACACTTCAAGGCAAAATGTATTTCAAATACCACTGCAAAAGGCCATGTAGCAATTATATCACCTGTACTGCAGTTTTCTTTTACCTGTGTTCTTTTAATGATGACAGGCTCTATTCCAACAGTTTATATAAACCTCCATGTTTACCAGACTGTACTGACTCCCTGGCAGTACAACCGTATAAAATATATTGTGCAAAACACAATCATCAGAAACTAAATGCCATCAATCAGTTACTCCACTGCAAAGTTTTCTTTTGCTTTTTTACGTATTAAATTGAAAGCAAGCTACATAGAAACAGCAGTTGCACGAAAGCATGTGCTAGGGTGGGCCACTTTTCTAATCCTACAAGACAGACCAAAACTCTTCATCTGGCCAATACCCAGAAGATCACATACTGCAGAAAGCCAAAAGGAAGAGGAACTCTCTTTAGAAATTAGACTCTGCAAACAATGTGACACAGAAACCTTTACTTAGTTCTCCCCTGTACAACTATCCTCAAGCCCTAATCTCTTCTTTGTCCCCACCTATCACACAGGACAGAAACAGTCTCCTATGGATTTGCATTAGTTCCAGTGCTAGAGAATTACTTTTCTGCATAAAACAGGAGCTGCTAAAATATATTCTGAGGATCCCAAGTCTCTAACAAGAGAACACCACGGAGGCATCTAGCCTTTGCAATGGTCAGTATCCTTCCTACAACCCTTCCTAGCCTTTTATACAACATCCTCCTCACAGTACCAGCCAAAGAACTTTACAGCCGAGCTGACAAACCTGTCTTATTTTCAGGTGCGTAGGGAAAAATGGTTTTGAAACCAATTGTTTTTGTGGACAAGTTGCTACCTGAAACTTCATTTTTAATTCTCTATGAAGTGTGAAACCAGTGAAACACAGTTGCAAACAGAACTATTATAAGCCACCTACAGAATTAGTAAGAATGAAAATTAGACAAAACTAAATTGTTCCTTTTTTTGTTTTGTTCTGTGCATTACATTCTTTTGGACATTAGGAAGTATTTCTTTGCCGAGAGGGTGGTCAAACACCGGAACCGGCTTCCTAGAGAGGTGAGCAATGCCCCAAGCCTGCCAGTCAGTGTTCAAGAGCCATTTGGACAATGGCCTTAATAACATGCTTTAACTTCGTCAGCCCTGAACTGGTCAGGCAGTTGGACTAAATGATCATTGTAGGTCCCTTCCAACTGAAATAGTCTATTCTATTGCCAGCATTATATGCCTACTCAGTTTCAAAGTCTCAAACTTCTATCTCTTGGGCCAAATGCACTACTTTTCTCAGCCCAAGCTCTTATGGCTTTCTTTTTAGTGTCTTAACTCATGTTTCTCTATCAAAAAATTCTCTTCCTTGACAGAAAGCCTTACAAGGAGTGAGTCTACAATACTATTTGCATTTGGGTCAGTAGCAGAGTTTTGAAGCTCAGTAATTTACCAAGCTCTGAAGAGAGAGACTACCTTTGAGGAAAACTACACGAGAGTATGAAATCCAGAAGTACATCTAACACTAAACATACACACATCTAGTAGGCGTTCAAACTACAGGACCAGATTCTCAGTGTTGCACAGGTAACAGGAAAGATGAAGATGCATTCTCTTCATGCAGAAATGAACCTCTCTGGAACAGAGTACGACAGCTTCCACAGCCTGATCTTGGACTGTCAGACCACTACAAAAGTGGTATACTACTCTGGTGAAAGTGCTGTGCTTCTGGTTAGGCAGTTAAATAGAAGGGCACAGAGCAACAGGCACTGCCCAAAGCAAACAATATAGGTCATGAGCATTTTCTGCTATCTCTTTTACTGTTTGTTCTTCCCCCCCTCCCCCCTCCCCCAATTCAGTACTCAGAAGAGAAGCACCTATTTAAAATAAACACCTGGAGGACTGTATAAATAGCTCTGCAAGTGGAGTAAGAAGTCATCAACTGAGATTTTCAGAAGCATCATGAAAAAAGTCAGCTTATAGAAAATAAATGGCTAAAGTAAAGGCTGAACAAGAGCATGATCATGCATTAGAAGCACAATCTAAACACAGGGATGCATGAGCTGTAAGCAATCTGCTTCATGAAAATATTTCAAGACTTCTGATCATCTACTTTTTGGTACCATCTGCAGGGTTGGTAGCGCTCAAAATGTGGAAAATAAGGCCATATTTCAGATACTGAGTTGTGAAGGTTATTTATTAACCCTTAAATTATTTCTTCAATATTTTTAAATGTATCCATTTTTACCATTTCAGCACTGTCCAGCACAATTACTACTGAAGATTAATAATTATTACCTAGTAAATCCATTCTGCATAAGCTCTCTTTGAAGTTTCTGGTCTTGAGCAGCATATTCCTGAAGCTCAGATTCCACAGCAGGGGGTAGAATATTTGGGATGAATTTAGAAAATAAAGCTGGTGCCATCTGTACCCATTCTGTAAGAAGAGGGAAAGCAACAACAGAACATGTGGAAGAGACATTTTGTGAAAATTTTACTCTTTGACAAATGTAACTGCTCTATTTTAAATACATTTTAGGATCTTGAATTTTAAAAAAAAAAACAAAACAAAACAACAAACTCACTCCAAAACCATCCTCCAAACCCACAGAAACCAAGCATTAAAGCAGACCAAATAATCAGACTGTTAAAATCCAATGTTTACATGTAGATAAAGGAATTACTTTTTTTTGGGGTCATCAACCTCATCATCAAATTGAAATTCAGTTCTTGCTGAATCTCACATGGCCTGCTTAGTCTCTGGACACTCTCAAGGACAGGCACTGATGATCAGCAAACTCACCTTGATAATCAGATCTTTTGTAACACTTTACCCCAGTATTTGCAAAATTTACACCTCTCTTCCCTGAGCCTTACTTCTAGAAAGCACAGTAATATCACCATAGAACCCTGCTTCTCCCTCCCCCATTTCAAATGAATGAACGCAACTCTCTCACTGATCTTACAAAGCTTAGAGGAACACTTTTTTAATGTTCATTATAAAATTTTAACCTCTATTAGCTCAGCTTCAGCATAGAAATGTGATTTAATTTCACTACACTGAACATTGCCTTACAGGAGCAAGACAGTTTACCTTAAAGCTGCTTCAAGGCTAATTACAAGAAACACAGAAGACTGAGCAAAGGACGAAAACTGGGTTTATAGCAACTGTGTAAGAAGTTCTGAGAAAAATAAATATACCTCAAGTATTTCTGAAGCCAGACTTACCAGAGGTTAGAGCAGTTATGTTAAATTTCATCTTTACTTGGAAAAAAGGGATGCTTTTAAATATATTCACTAAGGCACATCCTGAGTTTTTATCCAATTCTGACATTTTTATTTGGTCAATGCCAAGCTTCAACACTCTTGTCTTTAATCAGCAAACTCACTAAATAATTATTAGTAGTACACAGGTGGTTTAAACAAAAACCAGTCCACTAACTTCCTTCATCATAGAATCATTTAGGCTGGAAAAGACCTTTAAGATCATCGAGTCCAACCATTAATCCAGCACTGCCAAGTCCACCACTAAACCATGGCCCTAAGCACCACATCTACATGTCTTTTAAATACCTCCAGGGATGGGGACTCCACTGCTTCCCTGGGCAGCCTGTTCCAACGCTTGACAACCCTTTTGGCAAAGAAATTTTTCCTAATACCCATAATATTCCTAATATTCCTAAACCTCCCCTGGCACAACTTGAGACCATTTGCTCTTGTCCTGTCACTTGTCACTTGGGAGAAGAGACCAACACCCCCCTCACTACCCCCTCCTTTCAGGCAGTTGTAGAGAGCGATAAGGTCTCCCCTCAGCCTCCTCTTCTCCAGGCTAAACAACCCCAGTTCCCTCAGCCGCTCCCCATCAGACCTGTGTTCCAGACCCTTCACCAGCTTCATTGCCCTTCTCTGGACACGCTCCAGCACCTCAATGTCCTTCTTGTAGCGAGGGGCCCCAAAACTGGACACAGTATTCCAGGTGCAGCCTCACCAGTGCTGAGTACAGGGGGACGATCACTGCCCTGGTCCTGCTGGACACGCCATTTCTGATACAAGCCAGGGTGCTGTTGGCTGCCTTGGCCACCTGGGCACATCCCTCTGCAGAGCCTTCCTTCCCTCAAGCAGATCAACACTCCTGCCCAACTTGGCATCATCTGCAGACTCACTGAGGGTGCACTCAGTCCCCTCGTACAGATCATTGATAAAGATATTAGGCAGAAATGGCCCCAGTACCGAGCCCTGGGGAACACCACTTGTGACCGGCTGCCAACTGGATTCAACTCCCTTCACCACAACTCTTTGGGCTCGGCCATCCAGCCAGTTTTTTACCCAGCAAAGAGTATGCCTGTCCAAGCCACGAGCAGCCAGTTTCTCCAGGAAAATGTTGTGGGAAACGGTGCCAAAGGCTTTACTAAGGTCCAGGTAAACAACATCCACAGCCTTTCCCTCATCCACTAAGCGGGTCACCTTGTCATAGGAGGAGACCAGGTTAGTCAAGCAGGAGCTGCCTTTCATAAACCCATGCCTGATCACCTGGTTTTCCTGTACATGCCGTGTGATGGCACTCAAGATGATCTGCTCCATAACCTTCCCCGGCACAGAGGTCAGACTCACAGGTCTGTAGTTACCCTGGATCCCCCAGATCACAGCATTGCTCAAAGCAAAAAAAAAAACCAAACAAACAAACAAACAAAAAAAACCCCACAAAACCAACCAAACAACAACCAAAAAAACAACAATCAAAAAACAACAAAAAACCCCACCCCCAACCAACAAAACAAACAAAAAACCCCAAACAAACCACACACCCAAAAACTCAAACTCTACAGACATGAAAGAGCACTCTTCATCTTATGAAATACAGTAAAAAGGTACCACATAGAACGTGGTACCTACTAAAAACCTACTGCTACTGAATAATTTAGCCAAGCTAATAAACTGACTTGGAATTCACAACATGAAATACTGTGGTAGGGTATTTCATGCCACCATCAGATCATTACAGGTGAGGTGAAAAGAGTGTTTTAGATTAAATCCAAGTGGGCCAACTAGCAGCTTGAGCACCTGCCCAGGCTGAAGCCAGGATGCATTTTCTACTGCAGCTACCACGTGCTGGAGCAAGAATTAGAAGACAGTCTTTTCTGGCAACATTCGAAGTCTAACAGCTGTCAAGTGCTTTCAACTTGAAGTAAAAAAAGAGAAAGAGAAGAGAAAGCCCACAGCCACATCAGCATCACTTCTCCTTTTGCTCTCTGCACTGCCTAAACAGACACTTCCCAGTGCTGCTCTAATCCCCCAGCACCTCCCCCTGGCTACATTTTCTGCTTTACTTCCCCAGTTATCTGCTCGCCAGACCCCATGATACATCCAAGGAAGCATGTCCCATAGAATAAGTGAGAAGCACTACCTCAGAGGAACTCTTGCCCTGATTGTTTCAGAATTCATACTCAAGAAGCAGCGCCACCAAAGGACAACCTTTTGCATCAAGAAGTCTATCCTGCACTCTTCTGGTTGGAATGACTTAAAGTTCCTCATTTTCTCAGAGATTGAGAAGTTTGAGGACCAGGTAATTAGAACAAATGTGTCTCTGTTTAAGCAATAGCTTGAAGTCAGTCACGTGGGTCTTCCTACCCAGCTGTGGAAAGCAGATATCACAAACTGAAGGAACAATTTTTATACTTGAAAATCTTACAGGCATAAGACAGCTATTCAAAATCTGACTAGGCCCATGATACCAACCCGAACCAGTGTCTGTTGTGTCGTGAAGTAAACAGCAAGACAGGGATCGTCTGAAATGGAAACTGGGAAATCACAAGTCCATCACCTACAATATTAAGTGTGGTACAAGAAAACCACACTGAGCTGCTTTCAAAAGAATTATACTTTTATACTTACATGTACACCATTCCTTTCTCTGGTACTGAACAGTTTATTAAAATGAAATTAGTATTGCCTTAAAAATGATGGTAGGATGTTAATTTTTGCTGTTGTAAAAATATTCCTTGCTTACTGGAAGTGCTTTATCCGTGCATTTTGTAAACAGAGGGTCCACCACATTCCTGGCTTGTATACATGCTAAACATTGCATGCACTAAAGCTTTTTGTAAAGCTTTCCCATCCTCATTTCTATAAATGGGGATTGCAAAGCAAAAATAGACGGAAGCTCAGACACAATCCTTCTCTCAGTCACACCAAGGTAAGAAGAAAGTATCGAGTATTGTAAAAGGAACAGAAGCAGGTACCATTTATTTATGGGTATTTTGAATAATTCCTGTTTCTAAAGTCTTTTCAAACACAGGCTAGAGCTCTACTCAGTTCTCCAAAACTCACAGAACCAAAGATTTTGGTACAAAATTGATTAAAATCTGCAACACTATTTTCCTTTCAATGTAATTGTTGTTGCACAAGATGTCATGATGTACTCACGAGTTTAATTAAGCTCTTCCATGAAATAATACCAACGAAATAATGGCTTCATAGAAGAAAGAGTCATTCATCTCATGTCAAAGATCTGGCCGTTTGAAGTGTGACTCACAATATAACTTTCACCAACTAAACTTCTGCCATGACTGACTCATTACACAGCCTTCTTTCTTTATTTCTACAGAGCAAAAGAAATGTCTTCCCTTTGTCTCCAGAGCAGAGGGTTTGGTTGTTTATTTAAAATAAATTTGGTATTCACATGGTACCTTGCACAGGACACAGAGATGGGCAACAAGAAGAATCAGGGCTTTTGCATAGTAGAACTAAGCATTATGATGGACAGAACACAACACACATGTTTGTTACATGTGCATTAGATAGAAAGTGACTGCATACATATTTAAGAAAATGTATCACAACCACAGTACAAGAGACTCCTAGAAATATTTTTCTTTCTTACCTGGTCGTAGTGTATACAGGCCTTTCACAATATTTGCCATCGTTGAAGGAGTTATTTGAAACGGCGTTGACTGAGCTTCCAAAAGTAAAGCTGAAATAAAATTAGAAAAATCACTAATTTTCTTAATCAAGAACTATAGGCTCTTACACATACATTTTTCTATCAAGGAAATACAGTAGTTGTGCTTTTTTTATCTGATGTCCTCACAAAGGAAACAGGCAGATATCTGATAAGCAACTTAATTCTCAAGAGTAATAAAACACCACCTTTAAATAGAAGTATTCTGTTCAAATTATGTATGATGAAAATGTGAACTGTAAGTTATTTTTCATCCGTTTTCAGACAGGCAGCAGGAGCTGTGAGGAAAAACCAAGCAAGCGATGGCTCTAAGTATTCAGATGCAGAACTGAAATAAACAATTTATTTTTAGAAGCACTCTCATACTGAGTGTGCTGAACACCTGGAGATCCACAAATCCTTGCTTTACAGCATTAAGCATCTTGAACATAAAACTAAGGATGGATTGAAAGTCTATGAATGAAGTACAAGTAGTGTTAAAAAAAAATTAAAAATCAAATAAGAAAAGTTGTTCTTTTAAACACAAGTGAACATTTTTATTTAATTCGTGGTATCTTCTGTGGTAAACATTGCAATAATTACATCTTCCTCTTGTGGAAAAACCTGGCAATAGCACATTTATTGCTTATATTACAATACCCAGGCCTTTATTCTGCCTTGTATTTATTTGAGGTTTGTATATACATCTGAATTACAGAAACACTAGAAAAAAAATAAATCAATAAGGTTTAAACCAACTGCTGCCTCTCAGTTTTTAATCCTCTACAAAGGAGTTGAGCAATATATACACCTTTCTGTACCCACTACACAGAGGAGAAATGACTCTTACAATTCTACCTGAAGGGCGTATCTCTTGTGCTTACACTGCAGAGACTCTGCTGTTTAAGCTTCAGAGCATCTCCAGTTCTAGCTTCAGCATCTGCCGCTACAGTACTTACCATAAAAAGAAAAATCTTCAGTAGCATGTTCTTTTCTTTCTGAAACTGTTTAAGTGGCTCATGTAATAGGGAGATTAAAAAAGAAAGTATTTTTTCTAACCTCCAAGTAATCAAAGTTGTTATATTTAACTGTTATAGATGAATTTATTTTACAAAGAACCATCTCAAAAATGCTTGCTCCTTTCAGCTGAAGTCTTGAGGGGGTGAGAGCCAGTGATTTGTTTTGTAATGACATATTTATAACCTGTTTCCTAAAGATTTTTCAATCAACCTCTTCGCAGTCAAGAAAGTTGAAAAGGGCATAATGCTTTATAAGGAAGATATGTGACAGTAAGGCACACTCCAAACTATGTGTGTGTATATACATATGTATATTTAATTAGACTGTAGGCACTTCAGCCTAAGCTTCACCAGTAGATTTGCAAAGAGTCCAGAGAACTGTAAATTTGTTCTTCATATGTAGACATCAAATTATATTGCTAACATATGCATAACAAATTATTTAAAACAAAATAAGCCTAGGAATTAATACTAACATAAAGACCACCAAGTCCAGAGTTAAGTCACTTGAACATTTTAAAAGATGTTAAGAAAATTAAATTAACTTAGTTTCTTGAATTTATTCCTGATAAACTGAAAATCGTGCTCTCAGTAGTGTCCAAGTTATAACTAGCAAAAGCAATTAAAAAAAATTTCAGAAGCTACTTTATGTAACTATACATACAGGACATACTGTGGGAGAGAAAGAAGCTATTCAGAGTTGCTTTGGGGACAAGCACAGGCATTAATGGAAGCTGCCCACAACTACCTAACTAGAGGGTATCTGACTACTTGGAAATCTCTGAGTAAACAGAAAATTGCAAGCCACGCTTATTCCATCTACAGATGAAATCTGAAATACAGTGACTATACTCTGAGCAGTCACATGTGCCATCACCTTTCAATTTTTTTTTTTTTTTTTAATAGCAGAGAACAAGTAGGTGGCGGAGAGAAATTTTATTTTATGGTCTATATGGATCAAAGACAAGAGGTGATGAGCACACAAGACTGGCAGCCCACCTCACTCCTCTCAGCCTGTGGTACTGAAGACATGCTGGAGGTGCCAGATGCTCCACCCTTTCTTCTTCCCTTCCCGTTAATGGAAAACCCCCACCACTCCCACAAGTGGTCCCTTAACATGGTCAAGGTGCTGACTGACAGAATTATTTGTACAAACAATAGTTTAAGAGGATAGTCCACATCTTGAGTACAGTTCACCATTATAATCATGCAATATTATTTGTCACTTTTTTTTCAGGTAACATTCACTCATGAAGCTCATTTCAATTGTGATCCTTTGAAATAATGTGAACAGATGTATTTGCAACATAAAGCAAGTATAATGAGCAGCCACTTGTTTCTGTTCTAGGTTACTGACCACATAACCTGGCGTTAGAAAGGGATTCAATGAATAAAATCAGTGGAATGAATTCATCTGGAGATCAATCCTACAGAAATATCTTCTTCATCACTTCATTGCAGCTTCAGAAACTAATGTTTCTTATCTTTGCTTCTGCAACTTCATACACCCCATGCTACAATGCAAATTTAAATCCCTCATTCCTGATTTACAGTCAATAAATACAAGCATGATGGTATTATATTCAACAACAATATAACAAAGTAATGGCATCTATTTCCTGTTTCTCAATAAAGAAAACTAAAAGAATATACTATTCATTAAACCGTACAGTGTAGACTAATCCAGCCTACACCTTTCCCAAAAGCTAGATATCAGTACCTGAAGAATGAGTAGCACTGCTGTAGGGTATGTATTTTCAGAATGATTCCATAAAAATGAACAAAACTCCTCTCTTTGGACAGATCCAAAAAAAATCTCAATGCAGGTTTAGAGACAAAGATGTAAATAGATAAAAGATGTAAAACTTCTTCACACACAAATTAATCTTCAGTTTTGCAGTGAAACCTACCTTATATTACTTGAGAGGGTCACTTAAACTCAAGGAATAGAAACAGCTCTGCCAGACATGCTGAAGTTACCTCTGTTATTTTATGATCTTACAAAACACCTCCAAATATTAAGGCTTTGGCTCTTGCTTTATTAGAATAATTAATGAGACTCTACAACACAGAAGTTGCACAGACTCTACCTACTCCCAGAAGCTCCACCTGTGGCATTTACAAAGACAGAGCAGGGTGAGGCAGAATAAAACTAAACCTCCAATGAATGACAGCAGTAATGACACTATGATGCTATCTGACCACCTCCACAGTGTTTATGAACTAATATTGCATTTTACAGACGAAGTAACCAATATGTAAAGAAGTTAATTAACCTGCAAATAGTCTTGAAAACAACTCATGGCAGAATCAAGGAAGAGAAGTGTGGGTTCCCATGATGAAATGCTTTAATTGCAGAAAGATACAAGATGCTTTGAAAAATGGTTGAACCGAGGTAAGACACAATACCCAGAATGGCCTCAGGATTTTTTTGAGGAACGGTGGATGCACTGTATTGGAATAAGTGAGGTATGAACCTGCAGCACCTCAGGTACTCCGCAGTAACCAAGTTACTCTGTTGCACAGTAGCACTGAAGAAGCTTGTCCCTTAATGAAGATTTAAGCTACTTCCTAGTCACAGTGGGGTACCTGGGGCAAGATCCAGGACCTCAGTAATTCCAGGAGTAGCAGATGGTATCTCACCAAGTTCAAACTCACTTGTAAAAACTAAGAGTTAGCTATTCTAAAAATCTTTTTCTATCCTTCAACATTCCTTTCAAAATAGATTTATTTTGCTTGGCAAAGATGTAATTTTTCTGGCAGTTTTGCATGTTAGCGCACAACATTTTTTTCTTCCCTTTGCAGTAATTTAATAGAACTTCAAAGTAAGATATTTTAAAAAATCATACATAAGTGTGGCTTAGACAGGTGTGTTCAAAGTTGTAATTATTCAACAACACACTTAAAAGAATAGTAAAGTGTATTCCCATTAAAAGCAACTCCAACAGTTTCCACAACTAAGGCGTTAGTCAGCTGCTGCTCTCCAGTCTTCAAGAGAAGCAGAACCAATTGCCTAACGAAGCTGCAAAGTAAAACAAATGTATTCCAGAGATCTTTATCCCATTGAACAAACTGTGCTCTTTCGCACTTAATTCCAATATGTATGCAATACTTATATTATTTTGCAGAATAACAACCTTAATATTTCCGCATGGCTCGAGCCCGTACACAACTATACGCGAGATATAGAGGGATGCACAGCAGTAACGATGGAGCTATCACCAGTGCACAGCCTAAACAAACCTTAACAGCCCAGGCTCACCTGGCAGTTCTGCCCTGTAGGAATATCATCAGATCACGTGTAGTCAAATCCATAGTATAATAAATCACCTTTCTCTCAGCTAAATTGTATCGGGTCCATCTGACCACACATACCTTTTCACTGCACTGTGATAACATCAGATTCACCTTGAACATGGTTCTCGTACCCCAACTTTATTCCCAGATCTAGTCCATGCAAAACACTTGATTGAACCCCACATGCCAACAGCAATTAAATAGCAAGGGAACCGCTACGGCTGGTGGCCAAGATGTGGCTGCAGGTTTTTGCTGTTGTTGTTTTGGGTTGAGGTTTTTTGGGAGGCTGGATGGTTTGGGTTTTGGGTTGTTTTTTTTTTTGTTGTTGTTGTTCTTTGGTGTTTTGGGTTTGTTGACATTTTTTGTTTGGGTTTGTGGTTTTTTTTTTTTTCCACCTGCTCCTTACTTTATTATTATTGACTAATGAAGCTTGATCATCTATTACCTTTCCATTACTTTAACCCAGGTACAATTTGTACGTGTTAACTATCGATCTAGAACTTCAAAAGCCTTTTGCATGAAAACTGGCCTTCGCTCTGGCTTAGCCCTCACATTTACAGTTACATCAAACTCCCTGTCCTTCTGCATTTTTATTTTCCCTTAAACAGAACTAAAAATAAATTTTTAGCAACTTAAATTCTTCAAAAGTTTGTAATTAATTAAAACATAGATTAGGAAAAAAAGTTGTATTTATTACTAAGCATTTGCCACTAGGCA